TGAAAGAATCAACACTGCCGGTGTCCATAATGAATGTATGGTGAATGAAGTCATTAATGATGAAGTCGCGAGTAATATGGCGAGAGGGATGTGAACTGGTACTGGCTAGAGTTAAGGACTGTAAATCACACAATAAATCTTTAGAGGAATGGACAGTCGTACGTTTGGTAAGACACGACTTCGCACTTTTACAGACAGATTGGATGTGGCCAAGCTTACCGCAATTGTGACACTTGGCATTTTGAAATCTACAGGATAGCCGCGAATGTCTTTGTCCACAGAAATTGCACTTGTTCCATCTTTGAATCCATTGGTCATTGCGGGCCGGAGAACTGATGTTTTTCGAGCCCTTTTCGAAAAACCGCTTTCGGCGGGATGGTGGCTGTTTGGAATTGCTGGCATTGAACAACAAGTTGGATTCATCACAAATAATGGCACGGACGTCTTGGTACTGTTCACAGACTGCAGTAGCCAACTGAAATGTGCAATCGTGCATGAGCAGGAGCTCTTGCTGTAATTCCGGGAAATTAATACCGGCAATTAATCGATAACGTAACTGGGTTTGCAATTGATCTCCGAAGTTGCAACGAGATGCTTGAGTCTAAAGTTGAAGAATAAAGTCATGTACAAGTTGGCTTCCACCACGTGTGAGTGAATGAAATTTGGCTTGTTCAGCAGCTTCGAAATTAGCCGGCTGTAGATGCTTCCAGCAGCAAGGTTTTCAGGGATTCATACGATTGTCTTGCGAGACTTGGCTAAGTGGATCTAGGTTTGCTCGGAGAATTTGAAGGAGATTGAGTAGTTTGTATTCATATCTCGTATCAGCAGTTTGTTGAGAATCCCATGAAACCCGTCGTCGGCTAATATTCGGCTACAGTTGAGCTACAAATGAGCTATGGCACCAAAATTGTAGCGTATTTTTGGTCCATTAGTCGGCTACCAGTGCGCTATTAACCGGATACAGTGAGATATACTTTTGAAAATTGTACATGCAGAAAACTCAGCATTTCACGCAAGTTTTGCTCATGAACATCAGTCCAAAAAAATTTGTCAGAAGATGAGAGCAGAAATAGGGTGAAGCTTTCTGACTGAAATTAGGGATAAATATAGAATAATGTTGTAAGCCTCCAATCACGGATCGTAGTTCGTGTTCGTTGGACGGAGGTTTGACTTTCGTCAGAGGAGGCAGATCATTTGGGTCAAGTTTGTAACCCTTGTTATCGACTAGATATTCAAGACATTCAAAATGAGAGATAGAAAATAAACACTTCTTAGGATTAATGGCAAGATGGTTATCAGAAAACCTAAGAAAGAGTTCAAGCAGTCATGCATCATGAATGAAATTGTCCGGAGCAACAACAATGCGATCTTGATACACTTCAACAAGACAAAAGTAATGTCATTCATAACTTGTTGGAATATGGCAGGAGAAACGGATAAACGAAAGTCAAAAACTTGTATCTGTACAAACCAAACGGGGTATTAATAGTTGTCAAAATGGAAGAGGTTCCGTCTAACGGGATTTGTAGATAAGCAACTTTCAATTCAATCTTGGAAAAAAAACTGGAAAACGGTCAAATTATCAGAATGTCCTTTGGTTTAACAGTTGGGCAAGTCTGTTTTTAAAGTCTTGGATTCAGGACGATTCGGTAGTTACCACATATTCTGAGGGTCTTGCCGTCTGACTTGAGTGGTGTGATGATTGGTGTACCCCATGCCAAAGACGCCACCTTCTCTATAACAGCTTTGGAACTCAAATTATTCAGTGCATTCATGACTTTTTCAGGAAGGTCATAAGGAATAACCCGGCGTTTGAGAAAAACTGGATCGCCATTAACTGGGGGGAATTTTTATGTAACCACTGACCTTTGAGCATTTGTTAATCAAATCTTTCAGTTCGTGTTTAGTATCAATGGAGGTTAAGAAGGAAAGATTGATATTTAGTGCTTGCATAGCCTTCAAGCATAGTATGAGGGGCCAGACTTGATTACAACGAATGCACAGATGGCACTTTTAGAATTTTCATCGCTGATTGAAATCTCACAAGAACCAACAACAAGCAATGCATGTCCAGTGATGTCATTTATGGTGACAATGGATGATTGTAGTTTAGTATCTGGAGCAAAATTTCTAAATCATGAACAAAAATAGGAGAATCCACTCTATCAGTGTCCGAAATGAAATAAAATGAGAAAACGAGTCGGTGAGCGAACAAATGTTTTCGAATATTCCTAGTCATGCTCTTACATGTCAAATAGTCAAAAAATGCTTACAGAATTGGCAGTCATTGGCTCAATTAAAGATAAATAATTGGAGTCGGAGGGAAGGGAGTGTGCGTGCGCTTCAAGGGCTTCAATTTTCCTGACCCAGTGTGAAAATCAAAAACAGAACAGAACGTGTCCCTTTGCCCAACTGGCGAAAGGTCATATCAACTGACACAGTTAACGCTCCTGAACACACACCCCCTTCTCTCCACCTCCGATTAATGACCTGTAATTAAGCGAATGGCTATCATTCTGTAAGCATTTTTTGACTATTTGACATGTAGGAGCATGACTAGGAATATCCAAAACATTTGTTCACTCACCGACTCGCTTTCCCAATGAAATAAAATGAGTTACCAGTGGAACTGAAGAGTTGTGTACAAATAAGACCAGAGTGGTAGGTAGTGACCAAAGGTAATGAAGAAAAATGTTTGTCTATGTCACTCATTTCTGACTCATTGGATTGGATTAAGCGACAAGTTTGTGTATTACGACAGAATGAATATGACCAGTTTTGGCATACTTGTGAGATGAAGCGTAACGGAATTGAAATGTGCATCCAGAATGACTTTTACCGCAGGAAGCACCATTCCATAGGATTTGTCCGAATATGCCACTTGTGAGCGAGATTGTGTAGCTGGTTTGAAATATCCGGCTGAAGTATGAACTTTTGTGGATTTTGTTTTGAGTGAATTGAACATGGCTGTAGATTCGATGGTCGATGGCATAGATGTGGTAGCGGTGCAAATATCCTGATATTGTTCACAGCGGGCCCGCAAGTATTTGAACGTGGGATTGGATAGTTTCAGAAGTTCGGTTTGCAAAATGGTATTGTTAATGCCAGCACTCAGTCGATCCTTCAACTGCATGTTCAGTAAGTCACAAAAATCACACTTTGCAGCTTGTATGAGTAAATCCAGGATGCATTCACCGACGCCCTGATTCGGATTGCGTAACACTGAAAATCTGCTCTGAGGGTTCAAAGTTAGTCGGTTTCACATTCTCGTATGGTACAGAAATAGGTGCAGAATAAGCAATTTTACCGGCAGCATTAAAAAAGAACGCGGATTTCTTCTTGTTATCAGGCTTCGACCGAGTCTACCACCAAATCTCAAACGTTCAAAATAATCCTCGATGTCGCTTGCACTGCAGTTGAAATCTAGGGATTCTAATGCAGTCGAATGCATTGTTCAGTAGACCGGCGGCGACGTTGAATCTAGTACTGAGAATATAATTAGAAATGTAGTTCCGAAATTCACGCAGTGCCGATCGCCGAAAGAGAACAACTCCGAACAAAATAACCCACGTAATTTATTTGAATTGCATGCACCACGAATTCAATGCAAAAGGTGTACAGTAATTGTATCGAGGTCAGTTTGATACACCACTTACCCTACTGTGACTATTACCAGAGGCATTCAATCCGAATCTGCCCTTTCCGTGCTTGTTATCCTGCATTAAACGACTTAGTTGAGTATTTTTACCGGCAACTCCAAGCTTCACTTTCTGCTCACAAAAATGCTTACGGAACCCAAAGTCTTCCATTCATTCTGTTTAGCATTTGCTCCGTTATCAAAGAAGACCTCAAAAATTTAGCAGTAGATTTGGTTTATGGAGCGAGTCATTGTCTACCATGGGATTGACTTTAAAACCCTCCGTCAAAACCCAATTTTCCATTGGCGTTTGCCGAACAATTACGAGAACGTATGATGACCCTGAAATCCAACCTCACACGTCATCATACATGGAGTAAAAAAGTGTCTTATGTATCACACACACGTAGCGATGTTTTCAGTTGTTTCGACACTTCTCATCGACTGTGGTAAGCAACGTGCACCGAATCATACAGCAATTCCCGTTTGGAGAAATCATTTCATTTTGATTACAATGAAACGCATGACGCGGTTTCTATCGATTAAAAGTTGCATAAATCGTGTTTACGCCTAATTTACTCATAGTAAAGATACTAACTTAAATTAATCGTTATCCATACCACATTGAGGTTTTAGTATGTTCATAAGATTTAGGAAGAGGTGCAACAGCGTGTTATTTTTTATGCTCTGTTATATGCCATTATTGTCGTCACAAATTTTAATGTACAAAATAACTTACAACATACTGCAAACCTGTAGTGACTAAGAATTTGTTCTCAAAGTGTTGCTTAGGCACAAAGAAGACGTTGATCAGTTATTGTCAAACGGCTCTCTAACAGTCGCTGTGATTCGTTTCAGCTCCCTCGTATACCTTCAACCGCGATCCTAAACTGGAGAATAGAACCTCCCAATCGAAAAAAGTCTTCCTCTGATTCCGTTTCTTTTACACTTACTTATGTTTTATTCGTGTGTCTAGTGTTTTTCCGACTATAGATTCTTCAGTTTCCATAGATTTAAAATAAATAAGGCAGAAGAATGGATTAGAGGTATTTTCACGTTGCTGTGATGTGTCTGGCTTGAAAAAGACTTTAAAATACCGGTAAATTAAAGTTATGTAATCGGTCAAAAGTACTTTTCTTTTAAAATTACAAGAATCAGCACCATTTCCTTGACATTTTACTAAATGTACACCTGATTCTGATTCAACATGATGCACCGGAGTAAGTCACCCGAGAGGAATGAAACGCAAAGAGATAAGTACGAAGAAAGCGTTAACAAAAATGTCGAAAAATTTGCGAACCGAAAGAGAAAATCGTTCAATCCTGTTTGCCAAATCGAAAGTATTATCAAACTTCTTTTATCCAACGTTTTATCAGACGGCGTTCGGCTTCGCGAATTTCACGCACCGACGGGGGATCATTTGGGTCAGAGAGTCTGAAGAAAAAACAGTGTAAACGTTCAGAAACACCGATAAGAGGTATAAAAACATACAGACGTTAATATGTAATATATGATCGACTAGACAAAATTTCCCAGGAGGCGCACGACCGGTTTCGCGATCCTTCCCGCTCTTCAGGCATGCGTATCAGGTAATCTTTTGTCAGTTCATTCATATATATGTATATATATCTCACCAAGACAAACATACATTCTTCACATAACAAGATGGCCCTTTTATATCGTTGACCAAGAAAAACTCCTGATTATATTAAAAAAAGCTGTTCTTTGTCTGACCGCTTCCAATTCCTAAAAATAGTATCAGCGTATATTCTATACAAGGAAGAATAAACAATATGAAAAAAGCAAAACATATGGGTATGCGATCTGAGTCTAAAACTTTTGGTCACTTTTTTGCTGGAACAAAGGATGCGCGCTAATTATGGAGCAAAAATAATGTTTACAAACTAATACGTCTGTAGTAACACGGTACTTTCGTCTTTTGCTTATGAGTCCTCTTCTACCTAAAACAAGCTTTTGTTTTACCAGTTACAACTGCCTGTTTACACTCAACCGCGGAATTGTCACTTGTCCCACTGAGTGACGCTACCTCGTTGCACGTGTACACCTTTCGCTTCATGTCTCGCTGTCTATAAATCGTTGGTCACGCGTTGTCCGTCACCTTATTCGTTCAGAGCGATAGTCCAATTGCTCTTCATCGTATCCAGGAATGTTAAGGTAATTCGCGTTTGGTTATTGTAGATAGTGAAAGCTAGCTAAACGTCATGCACTTAATTGAAAAATTGATTGATATATCCCGTGAATAAAGCGCTATGAAGGGACAATATGCAATACGTTTGAAGGCTGATCGGAGATGGTCTACCACTAGAACAACATGGTGCTTTGATAAACCTAGCACGTAATACTATTTCTCTCCCATTATTGAAAGGAAATTCGAGGGAAGGTCATGTCTGGTTAGGCAATCTACTGTAGCAGCATTAGCAAACCACAGACTGAGTTTGCATCGCATGACTGTCAGATAATTCTCAGAATTACACCTACCCCACGATCCTTTCCTTGGTCCCTTCTTCTTTTTCATAATAGACATTTTTACATGTCTTTCCAAAACCAGGAATCAAAAGGTTATTTTAATGCTACTGCATACTGTTGATAATAATTGCAATCGGTTGAAGGGTTCAAAAGGCAATTGAAGCACTTTCTTCATAGCATTTAGTTGATTGCGAGAACTGGAAGAGAATGTGACCAAATAGCATTTCAAAGGATTGGAAGTTTAACGGAATTTACTGATTGGTTTTCCCGATATATGTCCGACGTTATGCCATTGATTTCTCCCTCGATGCACGCCAAACTTCCGTTCTTGAACTGAGCTGTTTTATCGGGGAAATTACATCTGGATACATTCAGTTGTATTCATTTCCAACAGACATTTTTGGCTCTCCTTACACATATTTTGGGGACTTATCACAAAACGGTCTTTATTGGTTATTATTAGCCAAGGAAATATGGAAAGAAAATTAAATTTGTTGATGATTTGACTAGACCTACCAATTATAATCTTTTCAATTCCTTCATCAATATATTAGTTTTAATTTTAACCCCACAGTTTGGCGGGAATTCAACTCGCTATCCATTCGCAAGATGTTTTTTCACATTGTTGCCAGACTGACAGTCTGTCGTTACATATGCCATCCATCCGTTATCTGAATGTCCTAAAGTTTGAGTGTCGAAGAGACTGCTAAAAGCAGTTTTCGGAAATGCAAATCAATTATCTGTTCTTTCAGCATACAGTCTCGTCTCTGCACCATGTTCGCCGTGAGCTTGTTGATACTTTTCACACCACCAGTCACGGGCTCGGTTTGCTTTGGTTTAGCTCAATATCAAAATGCACAACCTGCCCAAGTTTTGTCTCCATCTCACTTCGTTTGACTGTTTTTATTTGTGGTTAATTGCATTTGGTCAACACGCCTGTAGTGGTTCTTCAATCGACAGTTTTCTTTTCTTGCCTCGTATTTTTCTCTGAGTTTCCTGATAGATCCATTCAAACTGAACGTGATCATCAAATCAGAAGCACCTACACCCTACGCTGGTGTGATTTGCAGCACGACAGGTTCAGTTTCCAACCGATTCAACTGATCCTGTGTAATTGAGGACTACCAGGACATGGTTAAATAATCAGAGAATACGTATCAGAACCATCAGGGTTCATATATCAAGTTGCGACTAAGCCCCTCCATCAGGTAGAATTATTACAATAGCTAGGCCACCGTTATGATTGTCCTTTTCACATAAGGACCCTTCTCCACCGGGCCCAATCAAGTGTACCGTCAACGTTTAGCATACATCGCCATTATTTGGCGATAGTGATCATCCAGGGAAAGTTTCTTCATTAGATATAGCAACTTAGACATTTCCAGAATTAAGTTTTGCTTCAACTTTATCGTGCTTTTAATTATTGATATGGAAAAGACCGCACAATTTTCCACGGTGAGCTCTGTATCACACGCTTCCTTTCCACTGATCAGATATACTGTTAGATTTCCTCTGTCGTTGCTAAAATAATTGCCTAGGCTAGCAAGGCTCACTTGCAACGTTTAGGAAGTTTCAGAATACAGTGTTTCTATAATCCCAATCCTTGGTTCTGTTTCTTCCTAGGTCGGACATCGAGGAAGAACGAGAGCAAATATTAATGACGGTTTCTGACAAACACCAGTAACCCACAACTAACCAAACGCTAGCAAACTTTTATCAATCAGGCTGCAGCAGCAGATGGACAGTTTATTTTTTCAGTGTCATCAACTAACTTTCCTTTCTTCATGTAACATTCCTCTTTTGCTTCTTATTTTTTTTAACTCATCAAGGTCACCTCCTTGTTTATCACGTGGTTGCTCCAACTCTCTGCACGCTTACTCGCCCGTCCATGTTTTCTCTTGGCGTACGTTACCGATCAGCACCCGATTCTGGTTTCATTATTCTTATTCTTCCTTCCAAAAGCGGTCACTTTTAGATAATTAAAGTATTTTTCTAAATATGTTTTAAGGAAAATTGATTCATTTTTCCTTTATTTAAAATTGTGTAATTGTGCCTCTTTTGTTAAAATTTGTGACCTCGAGATCACCTACCGTGTGGTTTTTTGGTATATACTATCACAACCTGAAGAAAGGATCCCTTCAGAGATAGTTTCAGAGGTACTACTACCTAACGATGGATAGAGCCTGGAACAGCAATTTACACTGATCAGTGAGCTGCATAACGCTTCTTGTAATACATCGGGATATGTGCATGTCTGTGAATCATACAGCGGGGTTTGTAAATCACGCAATCGGTGTCCATACAGATGAGGTGGAGTCGCTTTTGGAGTTGTACTGAACGCCGATCAAAACATTTTACAGGATCACTTAGTGATGTCATATGGGAACAGTTAGATAAAGTGCAATATAGAATGTGGTTTAAGTTTTCTGTACAAACGTTTACTAATCACACTGATAATTATTTACACCATATTTCACGATTGTATCCATGTTGGAACATTTTTTAGTTGAATATACTGTTTTTTATACTGTATTTTGTAAATGCGTATTTCTATGCGTATGTAGTGAGTGGTACCTATATACTATTAATGAGTAGTGAATCTTTATTTACAAAAATCAGTACTGATGGGGTGCTCCACGGTAAAATAAGCTCTTCCCTTTGGGTTCTGCATGTTTACTCACAATACAATGGCCGTACGTTTCGTGAAGAGTCTTAATCTGTTTTTTATGAACGCCCGTTTGCGACATGGCCGTATTACCACGAGGTTCCGATAGAACCACGTCTACATTTCAATGGAGACCGGAGATGCAGTACTTCTGATATGGTTTCTAAATGATTCCCTCTCAGTGAACGGTTTCTGGTCCTAATTTTGTGCGGTGAACAGTACGATGTGTACCATAGCTTATTGCAGCATACGTCCTGTTGTAACGGAGTTGCAGCATCTGAATCTCAAATTAAATTACAGTCCAATCGTGAATAGACCGAAAAGTGCATGTGAATGGACACTCCACACTTTAATTAGACAAAACATATACGGAGGAGAGGAATGCCCTCGATGAGCAAATTATCGAAAAAAAGAATCATATGTTCATAAGTGCGTACAAACAGCTAGGAAATATGATCGTCCACAAGGCGAATACAGTGGCTCACCGTAAATCCAAATGGTGTGCCCCACCGTGAATTCTGAGAGCAACAACCGAATCAGATCTGTCCATCCCAATCTAAATGCAAAGAAGATTATAGTGAAACGTAGGAATCACAGAAACTGAGCCAAGCCATCAACAGTGTCGATTTATACAATCGGTAATGTTACCAGTTAAAATATAATTTCTATTCGTAGATTTATTAGAGGCGAGAGAATGAAATATTCCTGTCACAAATTTCCATAAGTGATCATTCCAAGCGTTCCGTGATTACGCAAAACTGGGAGGTTGATTCCGCATAGAAAGCAGAAAAAAGATAAAATGAGACAATATGATCTTTATCTCGCGAGCACTTGCGTAGTGCTGAAACCTGTCATCCAGTGAGCGATTTTTCATTTTTTTCTGTTGAACCCATGTCTTATTTTTCCATAAACGTCATGAATTCAGGTAAGTATGGTCGGGAACGCGGCATCAATTTTGACTGGCTACGCGGCACATTTTTTTAGTTATGAATAGATGTGTTCAGATTTTTGATTTTCCTGGTTTTTAAAATAACGGCAATTCGATTTTCCGATTATTCCGTTTTTTTGCCCATAAAGACATTGATCCGATTTTAGGCAATCATTTACACTACATTACTGTTTTAGTGACTTCCGAATGCTTTCATCAAGGGAATATTATGTAACAGAAAATAATAGAAACTCAGTGTGCTGTTAGAATCTGCAAGTTTGAATTACATAAACCATTTCTGGTTTCTGATTTGTTCACTTTGCAAAATTATATATATATATATATATGTATATATATATATATATATATATATAATAGCCCAATATCAAAGGCTGACTGTGAACCTTCCGTTTCAGTGCTTACAGTTAAAGTTAACCTGATCGGAAATGTGAACCAGTGTAACGACATAACTGTGGTACCTGATTCCAATGAAGCTAATTTNGGGACTATTTTGTACATTCTATGAGTGGCTCTGTTGCATCGGACCACGGCAATGTAAACGAGCTTGACCTAGAGCTGACTCACGCGACTGAGTGCCAATGTGATGAAAGTGCAAACGTTTGAATTTTATAGATATTTTCACCAAACGCCCGTTGTGACTTTAAATTTCCGTGATTAGCTCCAATGCAACTAAAGTGAGGTATCATAACCCATGGTTCATTGGAATAGACGTTCACATATTAAGAGGGCAAATAGAAGCGTTTTATCCAATGG